CATAAGTAACTCCCCCTCTTACCTTTCAAACTGGAATTCAAATAGTTAAGTGATTGTCAGCTGTGTTTAAACTATCCTATGACAAGAGAAAATATAGTAGTAAAGCCAAAAACACAGCTATTAAAAAATTTACATTCTTTCATTGTTTTGGTTTGGATGAGATCTCAATTAATTATTTAATTTAATAGTTTTTGATATTTGCATGTTTGCTAATAATTTTATTTGGTTAAGAAGGAATAGTTTCTGGATCTATAAAAATCCATGACTCAGTTACAGGACTCAGTAATGTTTTCTGAAAGGGCCAGTAAGTAAATATTTTCTGCTTTGGGGACCATACAGTCTGTTGTAACTACTACTCAATTCTGCTTCTGCAGAGTGAAAGCAGCCATAGACAATAAGTAAATAAATGAGTGTGGTCTGTTCCAATAAAATTTTATTTACAAAAACAAGCACCAACCGTGGGCAATAGTTTGCCAACTCCATGCTCCAAAAAGATCCAAAGGATGTAAAGCCATAGAAACACACACACACACACACAAAAGTCGACCTAATCCATTAATCGAACTAATCCATTATTCTATTCATCTATTAATCAATGAGGTCGGTGCTCTTAGTTTGTGAAGAAAGCGCTTAAAACACAAGTCTGAATCAATGTTTCAAATGTCTAAGGTATATCTCAACTACAAAATGAAGAGTTGGTAGTAAATGATCTTCAAATTATGTTCCAGCATTAAAATTCTGTGTGCTCATTTACAAGTAGGCAGTCTAATGCCCAAAAAGATTAAACCATGTTGCCCTCTAACCATAAACAATTGCCAAGAAAAAATACCCACAGAAAGCAAAGTTACAAGCAAAAGAATACCTCTGAAAAGATGTCTTCATGCAGATGGTTAAACAGTAAGCAAAAGTGTAGTTCACATTTCAAACCAGTATTTATTCAGCACAGATTCCAATTCAGATGATCTGGGTCCCAACTCTGTCACTTACTTTCTACTCATGGAATAAAACTCTTCATCATCTTTAACTCTCTCCTTCACAAAATGAGGACAATAATATTATCTACCCCAGAGATTGTGTGTGAAACAGGTGTAAAAAGTAACAAGCAGAAAATTAGCAAGACGGCAGATGTTAATAAAGCCATACTAAGAATTACAACAAAAAGGCTGGGTGTGGTGGCTCATGCCTGTAATCCTGGCACTTTCGGAGGCTGAAGCGAGAAGATAACTTGAGGTCAGGAGATCAAGACAAGCCTGAGCAAGAGTGAGACCTCTCTACAAAAAGTGGAAAAATTAGCCAGATGCAGTGGCATACACCTATAGTCCCAGCTGAGGGGACTGAGGCAGGTGCATTGCTTAAGCCCAGGAGTGTGGGGTTGCAGGGAGCTATGATGATGTCACTGCACTCTAACTCGGGCGACAAATCGAGATCCTGTCTAAAAAAATAATAATAATTACAACAAATGTGAATAGTTATGTTCACATCAACTAAAAGACAAAAACTGTCAGATTGGATTTTAGAAAAAGCAAAATCCAACTATATCCTCTCTACAAGTACTTTAAATATAAAGACATAAAGATATATTTAAATTAAAAGTAAAAAAACAGAAAGAGATTTGCCATGCAAATTCTAACTTTAGAATGTCTGACCAACCCATATAAATAACCACCTAACAATGCCTAATTTAACAATTAAGAAATGGCATTACACGCTTTCAGGAAAACCCTTTTCATGAAAGCAGATGAAAGTAACTTCTAACAGGTGTGGGTCTCTTCCCTAAAAGGAGCTAGTCCTCTCCAAAAAAGAGCAAAAAACAATAGAATTTCTGGGACTATATATACAGAAGAATGTTCACTTAGGTGACTGCCCAAAATAAATATAAATGTAAGAATATAACACATAATATTGTATTACAGATGAGATGAGCATAATTAAAGGAGGTAAGCATCTCATTTAAAAGTATATTTGTTCTCTAAAAGGGAAGGTAGGCACTACCATTTTTCCTTCAATCTGTTATAATCGATGTACTCGCAAGGAAAAAAACTATAATAATACTCTTACTTACTCTAAAAATACTCTTTATTAATAAAAAAAAAGTTCACAAAAAGTTAAATAAAACCTGTATCAAAAACAAGGCCTTTAAAACAAAAATAACAAGGTCCTTAGGACTTGCACTTTAGCCCAAGATAGAGAAATCAGCACTGTATTAACTGCTTCATCTAAAACAAACAGATAAAACATACGAATTGATGGTTTTCAAGACACTGGACAGCAAGCAAAGAAGGACAATAATCTCTGGAAGATGGGAAGGAAACAAAGTGACCGCTACAAGTGTTATGGCTTGCTTCCTTTAGAGATTTTCCAGGCCACAACACAAAGAAGGAGAAGCAAAATGGGTCCAGGCAAACTCCCTGAGTGAGGAGGCATAACTGAGAGTCTCTAGGAAAATCAATGTAGCTATAGTTCATAGGTCAGAATACTAAAGAAAAAAGAATTCCATAGAGAAATAATTCTAGAAATATACACTGAGTGCCTCTGAGTATTCAAACATTCACCAGAGCACTGACTGGCACTACTGAAGGCCCAAAATAAAAACATCTGGAAGGCTTAGAGAACAGGACATGGGCACATACAGAATTGAAAACGCTGTCTGTTCCCATCAGCCATACTGGAAAAAATCATAATTCATGAGGCATTAGATGATGCAGGAGTGTCTTTCCTCAGTTGTGGAGAATAATTAGCTCTAGACTGAGCACTTCTTCAGATCCACTTAACAAATAATAAAAGACCTAAAAGAATCAAACTGCTTCCAAGAAAATTAACTGTACACCAAAACAAAGTTCAAAAATATTTATAAGATGACAAAATACCAAGCACGCAACAAGGTAAAATTCACAATTTACCTTCCAGGCATCCACTGTCTGGAATACAAAAAAGCAGAACAACACAACCTACAGTGAGCAGAATAATAAATTGAAACTGACTCAGAACTAACACACATTAAAATCAGCAGACAAGAATATTAAAAGTTATTATAACGGTATTCCATAGTCCAAAAGTTAAGTAGAGATATGGAGGATTTACGTTGGTGCTAAAGTAATTGAGGTTTTAGCATTGTTGACATTTGCCATTTGATATTGGAATACATTCTTCAATAAATGTGGTTATGTTATACATCATTTTAATGTGTATTTCTCACTTTGTTTTTTTGCTAATGACTTATTACTTGCTGTTTATTTTAGACTACGGAAATGATGTTAGACAAAAAGCAAATTTGGGTATGCTGGCTCACACCTGTAATGCCAGCACTCTGGGAGGCCAAGGCAGGCAGATCATTTGAGCTCAGGAGCTTGAGACCAGCCTGAGCAAGAGCGAGATCCCGTCTCTACTAAAAATAGAAAGAAATTAGCTGGACAACTAAAAATGTATAACAAAAATGAGCCAGGCATGGTGGCACATACCTGTAGTCCCAGCTACTCGGGAGGCTGAGGCAGGAGGATGCTTGAGCCCAGGAGTTTGAGGTTGCAGTGAGTTAGGCTGATGCCACGGCACTCTAGCCCTGGCAACAGAGGGAGACTCTGTCTCAAAAAAAAAAAGCAAATTTGAGCCAGTTTCTTATTTGAGTTCAAAATGGCTCATAAAGCAATAGAGACAATTCGCAACATCAACAATGCATTTGGCCTAGGAATTGCTAAAAAATGTACAGTGCAGTGGTGGTTCAAGAAGTTTTGCAAAGGAGATGAGAACCTTCAAGATGAGGAGCACAGTGGCTGGCCATCACAAGTCGACAACAACAAATTGAGAGCAATCATTGAAGCTGATCCCCTTGTAACTACAAGAGAAGTTGCTGAAGAACTCAACGTCGACCATTCTATGGGTCATTCGGCATTTGAAGCACATTGGAAAGGTGAAAAAGCTTAATTAAGTGGGTGCCTCCTGAGCTGACCGAAAATCAAAAAAATCACTGTTTTGAAGTGTCATCTTCTCTTCTTGTACTCAACAACGAACCATTTCTCAATCAGATTGTTACATGCAACGAAAAGTGGATTTTATATGACAAATGGTGACGACTAGCTCAGTGGTTGGACCAAGAAGCAGTGCCAAAGCACTTCCCAAAGCCAAACTTGCACCAAAAAAGGTCATGGTCACTGTTTGGTGGTTGCTGCCGGTCTGATCCACTACAGCTTTCTGAATCCTGGAGAAACCACTACATCTGAGAAGTATGCTCAGCAAATTGATGAGATGCACCAAAAACTGCAACACCTGCAAGCCGGCATTGGTCAATAGAAAGGGCCCAATTCTTCTCCACGACAACGCCCAACCGCACGTGACACAACCAATGCTTTAAAAGTTGAACGAACTGGGCTATGAAGTTTTGCCTAATCCACCATATTCACCTGACCTCTTGCCAACCCACTATCACTTCTTCAAGCATCTGGACAACTTTTTGCAGAGAAAAGTCTTCCCAACCAGCAGAACGCAGAAATTGCTTTCCAAGATTTTGTCGAATCCTGAAGCAATTTTTATGCTACAGGAATAAACAAACTTAGTTCTCGGTGGCAACAATGTATTGTTTGTAATGGTTCCAATTTTGATTAATAAAGATATGTTTGGGCCTAGTTATAATATTTAAAATCCATGGTCCAAAACCGCAATTACTTTTGCACCAACCTAATATTAAAAAATCCAAGTTGACATTCTAGGGGGTTAAATTTACAATGCCTGAGCTAAAAAATTAGTTAAATAGGATTAACAGCAGATTAGATGAGGCAGAAAAAAAGGTTAGTGAGCCTGAAGATATGGCAATAGAAACTAACAAAAATAGAGAGAAACCCTGGGCATCTCGAGCAAACGTCCATAGTTGAGAGTAGCAAAGGCACCCCAGCCAGAGGAAGTAAGCTCCACTGGGGCGTGGTTGTTCGTGATCTTCACATCTCTCCCTTAGGGTCAAGGCTTGGGTCTCCCCACTCGGACCCTTGGGACAACCCAGCCGCAGCACAACTATGAACTTGGAGCAGGTGTCCAATGAGGAGAAGTTGAACCTATGCCGGAAATATTACCTGGGTGGGTTTGCTTTCCTGCCTTTTCTCTGGTTGGTTAACATCTTCTGGTTCTTCCAAGAGGCCTTCCTTGTCCTAGTCTACACAGAGCAGAGCCAAAGCAAAGGCTATGTCTGGAGTTCAGCTGTGGGCTTCCTCTTCTGGGTCATTGTGCTCACCACCTGGATCACCATCTTCCAGATCTACAGGCCCCACTGGGGTGCCCTAGGGGACTACCTCTCCTTCACCATACCCCTGGACACCCCCTGACAACTTCTGCACAGGCTGGGGACCTTCCCATTCTCCCAGAATAGGCTCTTTTGCCCTAAGATTTGTTCCCATGTCTTATGTTTTCTGCTGACATCCCCCAATAAAGGACTCTAACTTTCAAAAAAAAAAAAAAAACTAACAAAAATAAAAGACAAAGAGAAAAAGACTCCAAAAAATGAAAAGAGCATCAGTGAGTTATGTTTCAAGCAACCTACTATATGTATAATTTAAGTCACCAAAAGTGTGGAAGGGTAGAAAAATGTAAGAAATAATGCTCACGTTTGGCGAAAATTATCAACCCAGAAACCCAAGAAGCTCAAGAAATCCAAGAAAGATGGAAAAAACCTACACTAAGGCACAACATAACCAAATTGCTCAGAACATGGATAAAGAGAAAATCTGAAAGGTAGCCACAGAAAAGACATGTTAAGTACAGAGAAGCAAAGATAAACATGACAGCAGATTTCTCCTTGGAAACAATGCAAGCAGGAAGCCACTGGAACACGTCTAAAGTAGTAAAAGAAAAAACTGTCCACCTAGAATCCTACATCCATAGAAATTATCTTTCAAAAACAAAGGCCAAAAAAAGGTAAAATAAAGACATTTTTGGATATGCAAAAAAATAAAGTACACACTACAAGCAAACCCACACTATAAGAAATGTTAAAGAAAGTCCTCAAGCAGAAAGAAAATGATACCAGAAAGAAATAGAAACTTAATACAAAGAAAAAAAGAGCACTGGAAATAATTAGATGGATTATTGTTTTTATTATTTAAATCTCTTTAAAATTAATTACTGTGTAAATAAAAATAACGTTATATTTAGGGATTTGTGATATACGTAAAAGTAAAATGTCTGACAACAATAGGATAAAAGATTAGAGAATAAAACAGAAGCAAATTATTAATATTGTAAGGTTTCTATACTATACATGAAGTAGTATAAGTAAAAGTAGACTATGATAAGTTAAAGATATATACTATAAACTATAAAGCAAAAAGGAAAATAACAGAAGAGTTCCAGTTCGTAAACCAACAAAGGAGATAAAATGGAGACATGATCCAAAAGAAGGCATAAAAGAGGGGAAAAGCAAACAAAGAACAGATGGGATAAAGAGCGAACAAGACCTGAAAAACAGTATCAACCAACTTGAACAAACTGACATTTAAATAACACTACACCCCACAAAAGAATAATACACACTTTTTTCAAGTACACATGGAATACTCACCAAGACAGACCATATTCTGAACTATGAAATAAATCTTAACAATTTTAAATGAATTGACATCACGTAAGTTTGTTCTCTCACCATGAAAGAATTAAACCAGGCCGGGCGCGGTGGCTCACGCCTGTAATCCTAGCACTCTGGGAGGCGGAGGCAGGTGGATCGCTCAAGGTCAGGAGTTTGAGACCAGCCTGAGCAAGAGCGAGACCCAGTTTCTACTAAAAAAATAGAAAGAAATGATCTGGACAACTAAAAATATATATAAAAAATTAGCCAGGCATGGTGGCACATGCCTGTAGTCCCAGCTACTCAGGAGGCTGAGGCACAAGGATTGCTTGAGCCCAGGAGTTTGAGGTTGCTGTGAGCTAGGCTGACGTCACGGCACTCTAGCCCGGGCAACAGAGCAAGACTCTGTCTCCAAAAAAAAAAAAAAAAAAGAATTAAACCAGAAATTGCTATTATAGTAAACATAATCTGAAAAATCCTCAAGACATCTAAATAACCCAATGGCCAAAGAGGAAATCACAGAAAATATAAAATATTTTGAATTGCATCAAAGTGCAAACATAAAACACGTGGGATGTGCCTAAAATTGTGCTTAGAGGAAATTTATAGCATTACTGAAGGAGCTCAGGAAATTTCATGCCAAAATATGACTTCTTACTGTAAAAAGTATTTTGAATTAGAAGTCCATAGAGATCAACAGGCCTTGGAAGAGGCTTTCTCTTTTTCTTCATAAAAAACCACATATATCAAAAAGAATAATTGACTTTCCTTTCCCTCCCTGTTACCTCAATATATTGCAGGAAAGAAAATCAAGAACGCAACCAGATCTGGCCCGAATCATTTTAAATACTTATCTCTCTCAGGTTAATTTAATTTCCAAAGAGAATCATTTATAAGTCACAGTGTTTCCCCTCATACATTCATTCTCCCAAGTATCTATTCATTCTCCCTAGTAACCAATTATTGCCACTCAACAGAATTACCTATATTCCTTATCACTCCTCCCCTCTGAAATGATGTTATATAAATTTCTGGACCCCATTGGGATATGGGGTAATCACTCTGTGATTCTCCCCATGTACACAGTAAATAAATCTCTTCCTCTTATTAATCTGCCTTATTGTGAGTTGATCTTTCAGTGAACTTTCCAGGGCAAAGGTGAAGTTTTCCCTCCCCCGCCCCCCACAATATCTTATTAGAATAGAAGGAAGACCACAAATCAGTGATGTAAGCTGCCACCTTAAGAAATCAGAATAAGATGAGAAAATTAAACCCAAAACAAAATGAAGGAAAAAAAAATAAAGAACAGATACCAATGAAATTGAGAATAGGAATTAAAAAAACAAACAAACAAATTAATAAAACCAAAAGCTGCTCCCTTGAAAAAGCAACAAAAGTGATCAAGGAATGAAAAAGAGACTATCACTACATACAACACAGACACTGCAAGCATAATAAGGAAATATTATAAATAATATTTTGCCCATAAATTCAACAACTTAGGTGAAATGGACAAATTCTGTGAAAGATTCAAACTGCAAAGCTCATACAAGGAAAAAAAAAGTACCCTGAATACTGTCGCTAAAGAAATTGGATTTGCAGTTTAAAATCTTCCTACAATAAATATTCCACGCCTAGACTGCTTCACTGACAAACTCTACCAGAGAGTATTTAAGGGAGAAATAATGTTATATTTTACACAAACTCTTAGAAAATATAGAAGAGAAGGAGCCCTTTTCAATTCACTTATGAAGCCAGCTTTACCCTGATATCAAAAACAGACAAAGACATTACAAAAGGAGAAAACTACAAACTGAACACAGTAACTCACACCTGTAACCCCAGCACTTTGGGAGGCCAATTCAGGAGGATAGCTTGAGACCAGGAGTTCAGGACCAGTGTAAGCAAGAGCAAGACCCTATCTCTACAAAAATTACAAAATATTAGCCATGCATAGCAGCACACACCTGTAGTCCCAGCTACGTGGGAGGCTGAGGTGGGAGGAACACTTAAGCCCAGGAGTCTGAGGCTGCAGTGAGCTATGATGACACCACTGTACTTTAGCCTGGGTGACAAAGTGAGACCCTGTCTCAGTAAAACAGTAAAGGAAAACTACAGTCCAATATCCCTCTTGAGCATAGATCCAAAATCCTCATCCCAAAATAACAGCAACTTAAATCCAGCAATATATAAAAAGGATAATTAGTACATCATGACCGGCTGGGTGCAATGGCTCACACCTGTAATCCTAGCACTCTGGGAGGCCGACGCAGGAGGATTGCTTGAGCTCAGGAGCTCAAGACAAGCCTGAGCAAGAGTGAGACTCCGTCTCTACTATAAATAGAAAGAAATTAGCCAAACAACTAAAAATAGAAAAAATTAGCCAGGCACAGTGGCGTGTGCCTGTACTCGCAGCTACCCAGGAGGCTGAGGCAGGAGGATTGCTTGAGCCCAGGAGTTTGAGGCTGCTGTGAGCTAGGCTGACGCCACGGCACTCTAGCCCTGGCAACAGAGTGAGACTCTGTCTCAAAAAAAAAAAAAAAAAAAAAAAAAATACATCATGCCAAGCAGAGTTTTTTCCAGGAATACAAGACTGGTTCAATATTCAAAAATTATTCCATGTAATTCACCATATCAATAGATTAAAAAAGAAAAATCATACTATTATCTAAATAGATGCAGAAAAACATGACAAAATACAATACCCACTTCTGATTTAAAAAAAAAAAACAACTCTCAGTAAACTAGGAATATAGAAAAGAAAGGGCATCTGTGAAAAACTTACAGTTCATACCATACTTAATAATAAAAGACTGAGGCCGGGTGCGATGGCTCACGCTTGTAATCCTAGCACTCTGGGAGGCTGAGGCGGGTGGATTGTTTGAGCTCAGGAGTTCGAGACCAGCCTGAGCAAGAGCGAGACCTCGTCTCTACTAAAAATAGAAAGAAATTAATTGGACAACTAAAAATATATAGAAAAAATTAGCCAGGCACAGTGGCGCGTGCCTGTACTCGCAGCTACCCAGGAGGCTGAGGCAGGAGGATTGCTTGAGCCCAGGAGTGTGAGGTTGCTGTGAGCTAGGCTAACGCCACGGCACTCACTCTAGCCAGGGCAACAGGGTGAGACTCTGTCTCAAAAAAAAATAATAATAATAATAATAAAAGACTGAATTATTTTTCCCCTAATATCAGGAATAAGACAAGGATGTCCACATACTCACCACTTCTACACAACATTGCACTGGAGGTTCTGGCCAGTGCAATCAGGCATGAAAAAGAAATAAAAGGTACAAAATTTGAAAGGAAGAAGTAAAACTACCTTTGTTCACAGTCAACATGCTCATCTACACAGAAAATCCAATGGAACTTACCAAAATTTACCAGCTACAGCTAACAGCTGTGTGACTTTGGTCATGCTGCTTTCCTGGGACTATATTTTACTGATGTGGACAATAATATCAATACCTATAGCTTGTTGAAATGTTAAATAAGATATATATAAATTCCTGATGCATAACAAGCACCCTATAGTAAAGGAATCTACAGATTAACTACTAGAACAGACTTCAGAAGGTTACTTGATCAATACATAAAATTCAATAGCATTTGAAAATTTTTTTAATATAAAATACTAAAAAAATCAATATTAAGCAATTAGAAAGAATAATTTTTAAAATGATACCTTTTATAGTATAAACAAAAATAATAAGGTATCCACGACACAAAAAGATATACAAAACCTTTACAGGGGAAATTACTTTATTGAAAGAAAAAACAACTTACATTACCTTTATGGATAGGCAAATTTAATACGATACAGATGGTATTATGGTTTGAATATGAGATCCCTCTAAAATTCACGTTGAAATTTAATCCCCATTGTGGTGGTTTTAAGAGGTA